AACAATTTTTATCTCTTGAGCAAAATATATAGTTTATATTCAAATTATTGGCTGTCTTGCAAGGATTCCAGCAATGCAAATTATAATCTAAACCAACTTTAGTCACGAGATATTATATAAGATATTATATAAGATAAAACTGTAAGCCTAAAACCTACTGGCTGGGGAAGTGCAGGAGCCAGCCAGCCAGCAAGAATTGGGGGGGTTGGCGATATGTTTGACACTTTGAGCCGAGGTCTCTTGTGTGTTTATTTGACAGTCCTGCAAGCTTCTCTCATTTTAAAATGCCAGTAGCGAAATGACCTAGGAGAATATAATTAACATTGATGGGATTCTTGTAGATACTGACTTATTTGAATTTAAACATGTAGTAATTAGCACTAGACATAACAATTTTAGTACCGTAATCAAATTAGTACATGTGCACTCCAGCTTTGCACTAAGGTCATTTATTTCTTTTACGTTTATTTAGTATGGTGTGTGCATGTAAATGGATGAAAATAAATGAAGAAATTTATAAATCTACCCAAAAATACCCAGTTGAAAAAATTATATTATAAATGTACTACAGTATTGTACACTAATGTACTACATTGTTTATATCTTGAGCAAAATATATATGGCGCTTATATTTAAAACTAATCTCTCTGTCTTGCAAAGTTTCAGTAATCAAATTATAATATCTAACTTTAGTCTGAGATATTATACAAAATAAACATAGAAATCACCAATCTTTTGTCTGGGAACACAAGGAGAGTAGCCAGGGCGTGTGGGAAGAGGGGGTGAGGTGACTGAATGTCTGGTGTTTGTTTGTTTATTTATTTGAGATAAATTGACAGTTGGTAGCTGAAGAGGCCTGCCGCGTGTTTATTTATCATTACTTAAGAGTGAATAAGCTCTTCTCAAAAATTTGTCACCCAAATGACCTGGGTGAATATAACTTACATTGGAGAGTTCTTACAGCAAGATAGTAATTTATTTTGAATACCATTATAAACAAGCTATATTTGCAATAGACATAGCACAATTTTAGTACGTGTCATTTAGTACATGTACAATACAGGTTTACTTAGGTCCATTGTTACTGTACAATATTTACTAAATTCACTTTACTAGATAAGCGTAAGCCTGGCAGCACAATCTATAAGAATCTTGCTTGGTACATACGTGGCAGTAAGCGTGACTGTGCCCACTCGACCATTTAGGTTAAGCTATGTCCCATTATTTGAATGTTTTTGTTTTTTTTTTCAATTTAAATTTTAATTGTTTATTCCTTGATAGAGGCTGGATCCTAGTGCTGTCACTTGGTACCCCTGTACCATAACACCAAACAACTTGGCCAGTGTCACAAGTATATACAGTACAGTACAATCATCCCTTAGTTATCGGCCTAATTGGGACCCTTGAGTCGCGTGATAGCGAAAGATACAATAGCAGTACAGAACCTATGGGATTTATTCCCTGGTGGTTCCAGACACTAAGACCAACCCAAGTTTCCCATTTTACGACCATTTAGACCCACTAAATATATACAGTATATAATGTTATGGTAAATATCATAAACACACATAGGCATGGCTAGGTTAATTACAAAGTGATGAAAAGGGTACCTCAATGCTGTAGTCCACAAAGCATTTAGCTATGCTTTTTTTATTTGGTCCCCCATCATACATGTTTGTTTTCTCTCACATCAGGATGCCTGAGTCCTCCGTTTTCTCACTTAATCTTAGAGTGCACCAGAGACTTCGCTATTCCTTAGTAATGACACAGAATTTGAAATTGCAACCCCAATTGCAACTGGGGTTGCAATTGTTGAACAACTAGATATGTCTGATTACAGCAAATGTTTTATTGTCAATTTGTAGGTGAAAGATTTTATCCTCAATAGATGTAGGTTAACATTTACACCTGGAGGCAAATGCTTAAAAAGCCTGAGGAAGGAAGCATATTTATTCGCTAACGCACATAATTATCTGACCAGTATGGGAGGATCATGCGTGTCTCCATCGGGGGAATTAGGTGGGTGGTGGTCCAGCGAAGCGTCCGCGGAAGTTTTTTTTTTTTTTTTTGGGGTGCGCAGGGCATTATTATATGCGATAGGACGTTGTTGATCTGACATTAACCGGTAGCATGACTGTATTACTGTATATCTATCATATCACTTGGTACAAATCTTGAGTACAAATATTACCAACAAAATGCATTGTTGGCTTTACATTCGGAAAGGTCACTGAGGGGTGAAACACTACAGTATACAGTACCTGTGGGCAACTGTATATTGGTTGTACTGTGTATGGCACTACTTGTTGTGTATGTATATTGTATATCTGTATTGTATATGTACATATACCTGTACCTGCACTGTATACTGTATGTACATGCGCTCAAAATATCTTTACAGAGGGGATGAATTTCAAAGGAAGCTGCGACTCTTGTTCTCTCGGTGGGGTTGTCAAAATCTATCGTACGTTGTGTTATATTGTCTGTAAAATCATAAAGATACTTTTTGCAGTGCGTTATGCGTTGTACTGTATACCTGCACTAGGGGGCAGTGAAATTTTGCTCAAAGCTGCACTCTTCAGACATTGTTCCTTATACATATCTAAGACTCCATGCCAAATTTGAAGCTGATATGTCGAGGTTTAGTCTGCCGCATTTTCTACTGAAATTTTTAAATTTACCTACAGTACTAGCCAAACAGCCGCTGTGGCGGTGCAATGTTCTGTTCAGTGTTTATCAACTTTTTTTCATATCTCTTATTTCATTTAAGTTGTCTTGTTGCAGATGAGTATGGTGCTATGTCTATATTGATTATCAGCCTTTTCTCATTTCATTTCTCCCTACACTGGCTGCCGCTTGTGACCGATACTTGATTAGTGATTATGCTGGAGCTGCCATTGCTACTGCCACCTTAACTGACTATGGCATTATCACAAAGGATGACAAGAGTCAGGTTATTGGACCACATAAGCTGCGGGATGCGAGACAAAAATACCGATTTAAGAGGCAAGAAATTGAGATGGCTAGTTTAGATAATTTGACGTCACTCTATTTTGATGGTAAGAAGACCGCCACTCGTGTGATGATAAAGAATGAGAAGACCGAGAAATGGAGTTCGAGGATGATGGTGAAAGATCATTATGTCATCATGGTTGAGCCTGGCAATGAATATCTCACACATGTGACTCCCAAGACTGGACACGGAAAGCAGATTGCCAAAACTATTCACGAGTTTCTGGTGGAGAAAAATCTAACCCAGCAGCCCATTGTGTGTGTTGGTTGTGATGGAACCAATGTAAATGTAGGATCAGAAAATGGAGTCATTCATCATCTTGAAATGTTCCTTGGTCACCAGCTCCATTATTTCATATGTCAGCTTCACGGAATAGGCTACCGAGTGCTATAGTAGGATCGGGGACGCTAGGGAGCTTCAAGACGAAGTTGGATAGGCACATGGAAGTGCTGGGATGGGTGTGAAAGGGATCTGCCTTGTATGGGCCAGTCGGCCTCCTGCAGTATCCCACTTTCTTATGTTCTTATGTTCTAAATGAGCTGCCTTTCCGCGCAGTTTTTTATCACTATGATGGTAAACCAAGTGGTCCTGAGCATTGGCGTGGTCCCATTGGAAAGCAGAGCAAGGAGTCTTTGTCTGAGCTTCCAGTTGTCGCCTTCCAGCCAGTCAGTTTCCCTGATTTCCCTGTGTTTAATGATGAAGTGGAGAAAGATCTGTCCTGGGATCAGAAATACCTGTATAGGATTTGTAAAGGAGTTATCACAGGTGTTGTTGAAGATGACTTGACTGCTATTGAGCCAGGTCCTCCCTGTGTGTCAAGGTGGAACACCTTATGGAGTAGAATCCTCAGGCTGTATGTAGCAACATCAAGACCCAGCCATGAGTTGAAAAGAATTGTCATTACAATAATAAAGTTCAGTGCTCCAATGTGGTTTTACATCAAGATACACCCTTACGTAACACACGGCTCAAGGAACGTATTTCAGTCCCTGCCATATATGAAACACCTGAATAGTGAGGAGGAGACGATAGTGAAGAAGGCTGTCCAGAGAAATGCATACTTCGCCCACACAGATCAACTTCTTCTTGGTATGTGTGCAGATGAGGACATGACTGTTAGAGAAAAAGCTGTCTCAATGATAAGAAAAATTAGAGAGGAGAATCAGCAAAAGGAAGAATGCACTGGCAGATCTGAAGAGGAGGAGGAAGATTCTGATGCTGCTGTTGACGAGAATTTGTTAAACTATACTGATGAGGAGGGTAAAGATGGAGATGGGAATGAGGATGTGCCTCCTGTAGTCAACATGAGAAAGGTGGTGACTCCGAAACTAAAGTGGCAAGCAAAAAACTATCATTCCATGATTAACTGGAGGAATGAACTCAAGACTGAGCCTCCTTACATTGCTTCTCTGTCAAATCTACAGGTTAATGACATTCTTGAGACACCATTAGTGGTGCCCAAGTGGCCAAACAGCACTCAGGCGGTCGAGAGAGGCATAAAAGTGATGACTGAAGCTTGCACTGAAGTGACGGGATACGAATCGAGAGATGAATATATTAGGCAAAGATTATTGTCTAGGAAAATGATGCCAAGGTTCCGCACAAAAAAGAATTTCAATATGAACTTGTAATGATTTTCTATACAGTGTACCTGTAAAATAACATGTGAATTAAATCGATGTCACCCATGTAAAATTTATCATTATCCTGGAAAACATTAAATGACACCTAATTTTTGGTATACACTAAAAGTTGACAAAAAGTCGTTCGCGATGCGGCAAGGTAAGTATGCATGAAATGGCATGAAATTTTGCACAGGTGTTTGTTACAGCCATACAAACGATGCCTGAAAAGTGCAGCCTGCAACTCAAATAAAAGTGTTTTTTCCCTGCCCCCTAACCTGCACTATCTTTTTACATGCTGAACCAATTGTAAACTTGCAGGATGATTTTATTGAATAAATATCTATCTATCACTCATTTATCATTGTCTCACCCAGAAACAGAGGAAGAGAAGATGGATACTACTACAACAGAGGGGAAGGAAGCAGGTGCAGGGGAAGAAGGAACAGCAGAAGAGGAGGGAGCCAAGTCCATTAAATGTGATGAGTAAGTGACATTTGTTTTTCCTTATTAATAAGACACCATACTGATGACTTTTTAACTGCAGTGCAGTACTGTACAGTATACAGTGATTCCCCGTTAGCCGGAACATTAATGCAGAGCACTTCCGGGAATGCAAAATTTCCAGGTAACGAGACAGCTTTCTCAAACCCGGAAAAATTCCTTATCCCCGGGTCCTTTTCCGGCGACTGGGAAAAGTGTCCGAGTGTCTAAACTAGACATCTTGCACAGACGGACACTAGCCCACTTCCCCAGAACATTTCTGGGTGTTGGAGATATTTTCTTTGAGTCTAAACTACTGGAATCCATAATTACAGCTCGAATTAAGTTAGAAACTTCATTTATTTACTATAATAATCCTGAATAGTTTATTTAAAAGTTTGGTTTAATAGATATATTTAAAAATTAAAAATCTATGGATATGGGTGTGAATGAAGCTGTGTGTTACAGCAAAGACTGTTATTTTCCACTCCCATGGAGCTGTGGGGGATTAGTGGGTCTTGTTTAACTGACCTGACCTGATGCAATGTCAGGTGGAGGTAGGATGGGGGATTAGTGGTCTCATATTACTGACCTTCTGATGGAATGTCAGGTAACCCTTTTTTGGGTGGAGGATTAGTGGGTCTCATGACCTGAAGATGCCTGGAATAAACACGAAACCTAAAGTATTTTTAGAGATACTGTGATAAGTACAGTATAATGGAGTGGAAATAAATGTTGCCAAGTGCTCCTCAACAGCTGATATTTAACTCGCTATCATGCAGTCACACAAACGCAAATGTGTCGTACAATAAAACCCTCACTCCTCATGCTTGCTGTCTTAATTCCCATGTTGTGTTGGAATGTGTGTGTAGGGGAGGGGGGTGATGCTGGGGTGTGTGTGTGTGTGTTTGGGGTGTGTATGAAGTTGGGGTGTATGGTGTGTGTGGGTGGTGGTGATGTGGGGTGAGGGTGGTGTACTGTTGGGGGTATGTATGGGTGATGTAGAGGTGTGTGGGTGGTGTTGGAGGGTGTGTGTGGGTGGTGTGTGTGGGTGGTTATTGGAGGGTGTGTTTGTGTGTGATGTAGGGGGTGTATGTGTGTGTGTGATGTGTGGGTGGCGTTGGTGTGTGTAGCACAGTGTGGGTATTATGAGCCGAGTGTTCTTGACGGAAGCGAACCTTTTTGGGGGTAGGGTTATATGGTCAATTCCCTCCCCTTCCTCACTCAAGCATGGCTAATAAGTTATCCTTAAACAAAATATTTCTATATGATATAGTGATGGGAATTCCATTCTTAGCAAAAAAAAAAGTAAGAATTGTTGATACCGGAGTCAGTAAAATCAGTTCTAATTTTGTTAGACACCATTTATTTGTTTTGTTTTTTTCAAAAATAATTGTGAATACTTTATCTGAAAGTTTGGTTAAATAAATATATTTAAAAAACAAAAGCCCTATATGATACAGACGTGAATATAGCTGTGTTACGATTATCCTCTTTGCCACTGACCAGCTCGTTAGCCGCTTGGGTGATTGGTCACATCTCTGTTATGCACTGTTGGCAAGTACTGGGCATGCATTGGCTCCTGGATGTATCTGAACTTGCTCCAGTGCTGGTCAAGTCTGGTCTTGAAAGAGCTCACACTCAGTGCCGTCACTACACACTCAGGCAGGTTGTTCTGCGAGTTCACAACTCTTACTCTGAAAAAGTTTGTCCTCACAGTTTTCTGGACTTGTAGCTTCTTCAACCACTTTACAATAATGTTCATACTGTAAACATAATAATGTATACTTCTGTATATATTGTACTAGCCAGTAGATCCTGTCATCTTTAGCCTAGAATAGGCAGACACTTCACTCAATAGACTGTAATACATAACTAATCACGTCTTTACACTTATGATGAAGGTTGGGTGGGGGATAAGTGAATCTTTTGACCTGAAGATGTGTTGAATGAAATTTTTTTATGGATGAGGCTACAGTATATACATAGTACTGTACTGTATTGTATATGAAGGGTATAGGTATCTTTACTAATTAATTAAAAACAAATAAACAATATTGTATTGTGAATGAGTCCGTACAGTAGACAAACAGTGAGGCTACCCTTTGGGGGAGGGGGTTGGCACAGTCACATTTCCCCTCCAATGGACCCTTTTCCCTCTTCCTCCCTAGCTCACAGATACAACTTTGCTCATTTATACTTATCACAATCTCCCTAAAAATACTTTAGCTTTCGTGTTTATTCAAGACATCTTCAGGTCATGAGACCCACTAATCCCCCACCCAAGAAAGGGTGACCTGACATTCCATCAAAAGGTCAGTAATATGAGACCACTAATCCCCTACCAATCCCCCACCCTAGATCCACCTGGCAATGAGTCAGCCCCCCCCCCCCCCCACACACGCAACAACAAAAAAACTAACTCTTGTCTATATTCATGACATTTTTAGAAAATTCTCTTGATTTTCAGCCTCCAAAAATGTGTTCTTAAAGCCAGAAATTTGGGGAAAATTTCAGCTTTGGGAATGATTTTCTAATCAAATTTCAATTCCGGCTAACAGAGATATTACTGTACTGTATAAATATTTTTGTTTTTGTTTTTGTTCCAGTTGTGGAAAGCTATTCCAGACCTCTGAAGAAGTAGAGTTCCATGCAGTTAAATCTGGTCATTCCAATTTTTCTGAGTCCACTGAAGAAAAGAAACCCTTGACAGAGGAGGAGAAGCTACTAAAAGTTAGTCCAATATTTGCACAATACAGATGTTATGTTTACCCAGTTGTGAATAGCTATTGACATAACCCACTATTGCCCCTCACTATTAAAAACACTTTCTTTTGTGCCTTTATATTATTGTACAAGATATAACCATTCTGTTGATAGCAAACTTGGTAATCTATAACTATGAACAAAAATATCATAAAGTTGATGGTACACAGTACAGCTATAGTGTGTCTCTCTCACCGCTATCAGTATGTCTGAGTTCAATTCCCAGCCTGGGTCAGATGTGAGAAGTGTGTTATCAAGTGTGACCCTACCAATCATGGCAGGTGTTCTCTTAATAATCTTGTTTGGTCCTGTACTAACACTGGACAATGAAGATTATAACAAAGAACAAACCAAGTTCCCAAACAGCTAATAAGCTGATATGTGGTGAAATGATAACTATACCTGTGAACAGTATGTAGCTATGTTCTTTAGATTCAGCAAAAACTCAAATGAGAGAACTACATTTGTTAGTGACTTTTTTATTAATTTTTTTAAGTTGTAAGTAATTATTGAGGATTTAATCCGAATTTTAAAGACAGGTACAGTATTTCATTTTTTTTTATCTACAGAAAAGGACATTGGAAGATAAAATACGGCAACGAAGGAGGGAGAGAGAGATGGAGGAGGAGAAGGAAGCAAGAGACCGTGAGAGAAAGCGTATTCAGATGGGTCAAGAAATTGCTGAGAGAAAGCGGAAGTATGTGGTTTTTTTGTTTTAGTGAATACACATACAATAATAGTTAAAACAGGATTGAGTAATTTTTAAGTGTATGGTGTATACATATCATACAATAATAGTCTATACAGGTTACAGTAACTTTTTGCAAATTTTTTATGTAAACAATGTACAGAAGGTTACAATAATTTACTGTGTTGAAAAATTTGGGGGGATAGACCATTATTGTCATATTTTCTCTTCCATGTTGTCATTTTGCCAAATTTCCAAGTTTTCAATTGTTTTCCAGCATGCAGGATCAGGAACTGAAACGCATTGCTGAAGAACGCAAGAAGGAAAAAATGGAGGACAAGATTGCAAGACAGAAGGTAAAGGAAGAAATTGAACGAGATAGGCAAGCCAGGAAAGAAATGTTTGGCAATAAGGGGGAAGAGAAATCACAAGCAGCATCTGTAGCACCCAAACCTCAGCCAGCACCTGCAGCACAAACAGCCCCAAAGAAAGAATATACTACAGCTAGACTCCAGGTAGGATATTGATTTTATTCTCAGGTTATCAGATTTTAAACTTAACTTGCTCGAGAACTTTTTGCCATTCTTTGGTTTCAGTATAGTAACCTCAGTTATATAGTAACAGACTCATGCTTTGTGTAGTGCTTTACTTACTTATACAAACTGTCCCTCACAACCATACACTTCACATGTCTTTTCAGTATACTTTTAGCTTTTCTTCAGAAACTTGAGTGTTGTTCTCACCAGTAATGTTGGAGTGAGAAAGATCCTGTTAACCCTTTGTGTATGGGCCCCCCTCTGAGCTGAATAAAATTGTCTGGCAATAGCCAAATAGAATATTAAAAGTGGTGTCCTCATTGTGAAGGGGTTAAGAATTACACTTTGCTACTCCATTCAAACCTCATCAGTCATTCCAAATATTAGAATATCTCCCTCATGCCTCTGGCTTTCATGTATTCTATGCTCTAACCCAGGGGTTCCCAATCATTTCCCGAGTTGTCATTTTATACAGTGGTCCCTCGGTTAACGAGCGCCTCGGTTAACGAGATTTTGGTTAGTGAGTTACCTTCCATAAGGTTCTTAACTTCGGTTAACGAGCAATCCCTCGATTAACGAGTTTCTTACGAACCGACCTCCACATGTTTTAGCTTGCATTTGGCGGTCCACCAGCTGTAGTATTAGTCCACCAATACAGTAATCGGTTCTAGGGCTTAAATTCCTTACCCTTTTAGTATCAAGAAGTTTATACTATTCAATAATTTTAAAAGTTTAATATTAAATTTTTTTGTCATTTTAACAATTATTGAACATAATTGAAGGTAGGGTCACTAGTTTGTGGCACGCCATCCAGCCTGCCAACACAGCATACAGGCGTCAGTCTCTCTGTCTTTTCAGTGGAGGTAACATCTTGCTCGAGACTCTCTTCAACTAAATGCCTTTTTTTCAGTGTTTCCAAGCAAATTATTGGTCATTTTGATATTTATTTTACATATTGACAATATATAATGCAGTGCAGTGTTGATTTAAAGAAAATAATCTTGAATTACACCGAGAGAACTATAATTTTATGGGTGAAATGGCACCATGGGGTTACTTCTCTTCCACCCCAATGCCTTCTCTTCTCCCTTCTCCTCCACCCCCATTCTAATTCCCATCATCATCATCATCCAGGAGCCTTCTACATACACACCTCAAAGTAAGTGTACTTTTCTACCTTTTTTTGTTGAATTTAGGCAATTTTCGGTGAGCTGGAACCAATTACCTAAAAACCCATTGAAACAATGGTTTCGGTTAACGAGCAACCTTCTAGAACGGATTGTGCTCGTTAACCGAGGGACCACTGTATATATATATATATATATATATATATATATATATATATATATATATATATATATATATATATATATATATATATATATATATATATATATATATATATATATACATACATACATACATACATACATACATACATATATATATATACATACATATATACATACATACATATATACATACATACATATACATATATACATACAGTATCGTATTTTACGGCATATAAGACGCACCCCCCATTTTGGCAGGGAGTATTTGGGTAAAAACTTTTGTGTGTACTTTCCTCCTGTAGCCACAGTTTTCTTAAAATAAAATATACAATACCAGGAAATGTGAGGAAGATAAAAATAATACCAATAAATAAGTTACAAAAAAAAAATTGTACTGTATTACCAAATCAGTAAATAAATGCCAAATGAAAGTTTAACACGGTCACTGATTCCCTAGCAACACTCCCGACCCTCTTCATTCTGCGCTCTCCTCCCGTAACGTGTTTGCCCTTAGGACAGTTATTTCATTTACTTTTTTCACATTATGTATATAGGATGGTGTGTGCATGTAACTGTGTAAAAAACAAATGAAGAAAGTTACATATATCTACCCAAAAATACGAGTTGAAAAACAACCATAATACTTCACAGCTTGGCCCAGTAGCCTGGTGGTTACAGTGACGAGTCTAAGCTGGCTACAAAGCCATGATTAACCATTATTATATCAGTAAACACTAATAATAACAGTAAATCCAGTGAAATATGGCAGGGAGCAAGGAGAGTTACAAGAGCCGACGAACCTATAATTAGTGGTCACTCACTCGCTGCCAAGTGTACGATCAAAATACGTATGGGAGAAATACATATCTTGTAGTCTAATTTGAAAATGGTGACGGGCACAGTAATAAACAAATTATTAAACCATGCATTTACCTACGATAAGATAATAAGAAACATTGTATCATTACTAGAGTGAATGAAATAATATTCCCACAAACAACAATTGACAACTCTGTTTATGTTTCCTGCCTCAGGCATCTGTGTCTCATGCCCTGACATCTTAGTTATACAGGCCTAAGATGATCTTTGCTCTGTTTTGGAAATGCTTCTTAGGGAAGTTTCGTAGCCCCTGGACCTCCCCAAATTTTATCCGAATCTTCAAAATCAGGATTTACCGCGTCGGAATATACGAGGGTTCACTATATATGAGGATTCTTAAAATAAATATAGATTTATCTTTATATGTATTTAACAGTAAAAACAAGTAAGCAAAATGATGTATTACATAACTGAGAAGTCTAAAAGTTACATTTGTCATATTTCATAATTATGTGACATGTACAATGAAAGACAAAAGTCGTGTCGTGAAATTTTGTGAAAACATATGCCGAAGGGCTAAACTTTTGGTCCGCTCTGCCTTGTGGTAGGTGGCTCTCATAATGTTCCACGAGTAATATTTAATCTTCGGACAAAACCGCGACACGAATTTGTCTTTGATTGTACATCATCATTTAATTAATTTTCAATACATGTTACACCAGTTATAATTGATTTATGAAAAGTGTACATTATCATTTAATAAATTATCTGTTAACTAGGAGTATAATTATTTAATTAAACAGCATAACATACAATTTTCTAAGTTACTATTCTGTCATATATCGTATACTACAACTGTGTCGTAATTCATATATGACATGTATGCTTCATCATTTGATTAATCATCTATACAAGGGGGTATATGAGGTTAAGCAACATAGTATACAATTTTCTGAGTTAAACTTTGATATATGGTTACAGCAATATTTTTTATTAACATCATTGACGAGGAAGCTGCCTCACAGACATAAGTGCTTCCAAATATTACCAGAACCTTGTCAGCCCGTAATTCTGCCGTTTCAAGCGCAAAAGAGCAACGCTGTTTTACATCTGTCTTGAACGGAAACTGAACAAAATCAAAAGGCTGAGTAAGCAACTCAAGGAATTTATAATTGAAAAAAAAGTATTCTGTCATATATCGTATACTACAACTGTGTCGTAATTCATATATGACATGTATGCTTCATCATTTGATTAATCATCTATACAAGGGGGTATATGAGGTTAAGCAACATAGTATACAATTTTCTGAGTTAAACTTTGATATATGGTTACAGCAATATTTTTTATTAACATCATTGACGAGGAAGCTGCCTCACAGACATAAGTGCTTCCAAATATTACCAGAACCTTGTCAGCCCGTAATTCTGCCGTTTCAAGCGCAAAAGAGCAACGCTGTTTTACATCTGTCTTGAACGGAAACTGAACAAAATCAAAAGGCTGAGTAAGCAACTCAAGGAATTTATAATTGAAATTTGCTGCCATTTTCTTCCTGCATCCGTGAAAAGTAGACCGCGAACTGAAGTAAGAACAGTTCAAAAGTAGGGGTACGTAACTTCTGTTGCGGAACATGTCATTGGGGCAAGCTTGACTTAAACTGACACAGAGAGAGTAACTGCATGAATCCCTTGACTATAATTTATGGTCGCAACTTAACGAGACAGCACCTTTCGGCCACGTCCTTCAGTCCATAATACTTGGACTAAAAAACAAAAACAAAAACCACATGTGATTGCTGCAAAACCATGTGACTCCAATGACTTCGTGAGCTCAATGGGAGTCCAGCAACCATATGACCTGTATGTGACCCCATGTTTGGGAACTGCGCTGCTCTAACCACTGTAACCCCCCCGATGAATAAAATCGTCTGAAATGCAAGAAGTGGCGTCCCCGTAGGGAAGGGGTTAAATGCACCTCATGAAGGGTTCATAGCTTTACTTATAGTTCACAAGTAAGTTTACATCAACTGGCATGTATTTCAAGGGTAGAAATTCACGTGTGCCCCGCTGCCTGAGTTGACCAAAATATCAGAAGGGCGAATAGATCTTAGAAATTTACTGGTTTTTAATCGCCCGGCAGGCGACTAGCATGTCAAACTCGCAGTGTCTAGGAGCTGTCCAGTAGTTTTGGAAAAAATATGATATTTTTGACAGTGTGCTTTACCATAAGGAAGTGTTTAGTGCCCAGTTTATAAAAAGCATTGCAAGAGCAAACGTGTGTTGTACGCGTGAACCCTCATACTTGGTAGTTGTGCCCTGCTGCTCCCAGAGAGTCAGCGATCTCAGTGCAACTAATACCTCCGTACAGTATTGATGTGATGCCTAATTAACACAGAAATTATTATTAATCATCGTGAGTTGGCAAAGGGGATTGTTTGACATGTGGAAGAATGTTAATCCACCACCAAGCAAAAAACAAAGAAGAAAAGTTAGGACAGCAGCGTCAATATGAACAATCAACAGTACATTAGATTCATATTATTGTGACACTAAGAGGAAGAAGCTTGTTGGTAATGGTGCAGATGGGGCCAGTGTTATGACAGATTGCAAAAATGGCTTGGTAGCTTGTATGAGAAGAGATTTAGAGTGGCCAGAGTTGGAAGGTATACACTGCACTGCACATAAACTTGAACTGGCTTACAAGGATGCAATGAAGGGTGTACCACTTGCCAAGAGGGTTGACCTACTGCTGCTCGGAATATACCTATTCTATGAAAAGTGTTCTCTCAATAGGAGCTTGTTGAAGCAGGCTCATGAAATATGTCAGCTACCATTTTTTATTCCAACACGTTTGGGTGATACAAGGTGGCTCCCTCGTATGCTGCAGGCTTTAGAACATTTACAAAAGAGTTACAAGGCTATTGTACTTCACATGCAGTAGATACAGAACCCTAATTACCCTGCATACCCCAAGGACTCATCCAAAAATCCTAAGAACTATCTAATGCTTTGAACCAGTGCTGATGTAATCAAGTACATTCACCCCCTCCTGGATATCTTGTGTTGCCTTGCGCGCCTTTCAGAGCAGTTTCAACACAGACAAACCAATGTTTCTGCTATCATGAATGAAATTCAGGTCTCAGTTGACTTCGTCAATAAATATTTGACAAAACCCAGGACCCAGTCTGTGGAAGATTTTGGAAGGTGACACTACCATATTCCAAGCAGAGAAGCTAAGTGATAGAAATAGCTCCTTCTTGGCTGCAAGGCATGATCTGCTGACATCTGATTACAAGTCTTAAGAAAAGATTTATTGACATGGCCAGTACAGTTCTACAAAATTCATGGATTCTAGATTTCAAGCTGTGGCCTGCAGAATACACAGGGAATGAAGGTTTTGGAGACACTGCTGTGGGAGTGCTGGCTCAATCTCTTGAGAAAGCACTAAGGGAGGCAGAAGTGGATCCAACCAAGCTGGAAGATGAATGTGCTGTACTCAAATGCTCTCTCTACAAAAAGAGTACGATATCACCTGTTTCACAGCTGTCCTGGCAGCAAATAAATGAATCATACAAAGAAAATTGTGGCTCCTTTTTCCATTTAGTTGACCTTCTGCTGTCCATTCCAACCAGTTCTGCTGGATGCTTAACGTGGCTTCAGTCAGGTCAAGCTCATCAAGACAGACTGGCGCAGTTCTCACCGATGACCGCTTGACAGATCTCCGAGTGGTCCAGTTGCAGTCAAAATGTGTAAGCAACTTCATCCAGAGCAAACCATCAACATATTTTTAACAACTGGGGCCCACCGTGTTGATGGGTCTAACCACACAAATAGCTGCAGCACAGAGGAAATGCTGGACGATATCAAAGAATTGGATGAGGAGCATATACAGAAGCTTATTGACCAAATCCAGTGAAGAAGAAAGCCCTACACTTACTTGCAGTTACATATACAGCATTCCCCTAAAATTCGCAGGGGTTAGGTTCTCAAAATGGCCGTGAATAGCCAAATCCGCGAATAGCATTTGCTAACCGGGGATACATTTTTTTACCTATGTGCATTTCGAATAGCATTTGCTAACGGGTTACATTTTTTTACTTGTGTGCAAAGAAACGTATGTTCCCTTTATGTGTTTGCCCCGAGTACAATTATATCTTTTATGTGTATTGCATATACAGTATGTGTGTCTTTAGGCACACACACACACATATACAATACAGGTAAAAGAAATTACTGTCTCTAAAATGAATGGCTCCCTGTCCCGGCCATAAAAAGGCCAGCAAGTTTAAAACTACCCTTAGACATTCTTGGGTACATCTAGGGTTTCATCCGCGAATAATCAGAGGTCCTCGAATTGTCAGGGCATGCTGTACATATACAGTACAGTAGTTTTTAAGAGGATCTAAAAAAATTCAAAATTTCAGCTATTGGTATAAAGTAAACAAGGAAACAGATTATCCATATTATACAGGTAATAATATGTTGTGCATGTCAGTGTTTGCAATTTGAATATAATTTACCTTTTGCTATTAAGTTAAATAAAGTGTCAAAGTAAACAACTTCACAACTTTCTATGTAGGCCTACCAGTATATGTGAACTATTGAAATTATTTATTTTAATTTTATTTTTTTTATTTTTTATTTTTTATTTTTTTTAAGCCTAAAAATTTTGGAAGGGCTAATAAACTTGGGGAAGGGCTAGTAACTATTCCACTCAATTATCCCGGCTGGTTACCTAAAAAAAGGCTAATTTCTACCCCTGTATTTACACTCTTAGGTCTTATCTTGTAAAATATTACAGGTATCACATCCTTAAGTAATTTAAAAAAAATTTTTGCTTAGATTCGTCTACCAAGTGGAACACCGCTTGTCCAGGAATTTAAAGCCAAGGAGTCTCTGTCAGCAGTGCGTCTATGGATTAGTCTTAATCGTCAAGATGGTCTTCCTGCAGATGCTCCTTTCAATTTATCCATGTCTTTTCCACGTAAAGTATTTTCAGAAGAAGATATGGACAAGCCATTAGATATTTTGGGTAAGTCAATTTTATTACATATATATATTTAGATGTTTGTTGTGATAGTATTTTTTTATTAGATGTTTAACTAAATAACAAGGTTTTTACAGTATTATTGATAATGACTGGCTCAACATAATTCCATAACCATTGCTAGTTCAAGTAATTATTTTCTAGTCAAATTCGTACTTTTATTTCTCTAATTTTTCCCCTTTTCCTGAATATATACGAGTATATAAAGTTTTATCGCTGACAAGGGTTGATGTGGAAATATTTAGGCAGAATTTTTTATTGGGAATATACTTTCGTGCACAAGTTTCCTCTCAAGTAAAAACTAAAACTCAGCTGTAAACCACTTTTCTCACCTGTATGAACTGGAGAAAGAGAGTGCTCTCACTTTTCCCTTGTAAATATTTATGCCAGAGTAAATTAGGCTCAAGATCTGCGACACCATAACTTTAAAATTAAACATTAATATTAGAAATTGTGCTGTGTAATCGCTTATGAACATTGAGTCTTAAATGTCTGAAAAATTTTTGGGTAGTGTCCTGATTTATCATATTTATATGAATAATGAATTTATATGAATAGGGGCACATTGTCAAGGACCTCTATGACTAGAATTTGCCTTGTAGCTTTCCCATTGTCTCCTAATAATCTTGTATGTTTGTTTCAAAACTTTGTGTGTCTGAAGAAGCTCACCTTAGCAGTAATATTTTCCATGGTGGGCATAGTAGGTAGTGGTGGTGGAAGTAGGCTTTGTAATTATACATTGGTTCTATACACACAAAGAAATCACTTGAACAGTGTATCTAGCACTACTAGCAAAATCACTTTCTGGTTGTTTTGAAGCCATTTCACTGGGCAAAGCAAAGCAACAACCGTAAACAAGGTGAACACTTACTTTTAGCACGGTTGAAAACGCGTGTGCAAGGCCGAACGCGGAATGGGACATCCGTCTGGGTCAATGGCTGCCAACTGACTGAGACTGCGTCCCTCAGGGCCCCTGCCTGCCCCACTCTCAGGGACTACTAAATTTTAAAATCTTACACTATTCCCTGACTATTCTTTATTTTTTTTTAGGGAAAGATTAGTACTATTTTAATATTGATTACGTTATTTAATTTCGGACACGAGCTTCTTTATGGCTTTTTGGTAATTATGTTATTTCTCGTGATGCATGACGTTCATATAGTCTCGTATTTTTAGTATTTCTCCTAAGGACACACGTAACATATTTTGAACTGGAAAACTGTCCAAAATAACTAAAAATTTTATAGTGGTCCTTTAACTTCATAAATCGTGTATACATTAATTTGATGAAGTACTTTTAATTTCGAAAGGCCTAACGGGATGCACAGTAGCTCAAAATGCCTCCGCCCCCTGCTTGAGGGTGTTGTTTGAGGGCTTTTTTTAACCTTGCCACGTGATGTGAGGTGACATAGTCCCTTGTCTTATGATTTCCTGATAATCAAATCAATCATTTTTGTTCTAACTTTCTGAATATCACAATGAAATTTCCTGAATATCACAATTGACCCCCCCTAAAACAAGACAGCACTGTCCTCATGTGCTGTTAGAAACATTAGAGCTACCTTCACGTCTGCATGATCCAACTCACAACCTCGACCCAACAAATCTCACTCTCCCAGAGCTATCCTTCAAAACACCCAAGTGAAAGTAAAACCCATCCTCAGCCAGCGATCTCCCCTTTTTTGCTTAGTCCTTGTCCTAGAGGACTAGTGTCAAAAAATAATACCCGACTCATCACAAGCGCTCTCCCCTTTTTGCCTGGTCCTTGCATTAGAGAACCAGTGTCAAAAATAATACCTGTACTCAACTCATCTCAAGCGCTCTCACGTCTGCCGCTCCGGACACTACAACGATGGACTCATTCCACGCCTCCGACCCTCATGCGGCAAGCCAACCCTCTAACAAATGCACCAATCCATATTAGTGAGGCCCTGGCCATACAACCATTCTCATAACCCAGCTCTTGACTTCACAAGCCAATGCACATCCCTGACATAACCACCTCTCCTCTCCACCATACTTACTCCATAACTCATCTGTTCCTATTCTCCACCAATGCTTGCTAGCTTCACCCTCGGCAGCCTATCTGCTTCTCGTCATCATGCCCACCTGAACTGTATTCGGCCGGCTTCATTTTCATCTATCCGCTTGAGGGTTCGGTCGACCTCTCTTAATCACTTACCTTCCTCTGGCCCTGTCTTACTATCGAATTTAGAAATGGTTAACCTGGCCCCGCAACTAACACCTGTTCTAGTATGGTGTTTCCTAATTTCACCTATTGTCTCTTCATGCTGTGTTTGATAGCATGTTTCTACCCTGTCTGGTGCATCTCCCAACTGAGCTAGGTGTTGTCATTGTTCACGTTCTAAGTTTTCCACTTGGGCCTGATACTTCCCACTTAACTGCTGCAAACGTGTCTGATACTCCCCCTTGTTTCCCCCTTAACCGTTGAATATGTGCCTGATACCTGAACTTGTTCACACTTGACTGATAATCCTCCCTTAGGTCCACGAAATCCTCTCCCAGCTGCATGATCTCTTGCCTCTCTCTCTTCCTCCCCATATACACCGCTACTGTCATGTACAAAAAACCCATTCCGGGCACAAGAATGAACAGCAGTGCGAGCTCAATCCCCACTATTCCTAGCCAAACCATGCTTGCGTTCATTATCCCAACCACAGAACTACCAGTCACGATAAAACTACGCTCTGCTACCAGTTGTAACCGGTCCAAATATTCTTATTGGAGTTTTTATATTTTAAAAGGATGGTAATGCAGTGGAAGTGCCCCTCAGAATAACGAACCAGCACAAACAAAATTGATTTTTAATTATTTATAGAGATTGGGACTGGCGACTCTGCTATTGGGGATAAGGAGACTGGAAAATGTTTACATAAGTATTACTCCAAAACACCGCCCCTTACAACACTACAGAAGGATATTAATTGCATAGAGGGCACTCGACACAACTGCTAACAGCACAATAATGAAAATCATAGAAAAATATACATGGCACCATAGAGAAAAATAGTGCAACCACGATATTACTCACACACGAGAACAAGAATTTGTCTGGATTAATCCCTCAATACATCCTACATCACTGTTAATAGCACAATAAAATGTTAAGCACATAGGAGAAAGGGAACTTATCTGGATTAATCCCTCATTACATCCTTCATCACCATACACCACCGTTTATAGCACCACAAAATATTAAAAAGATATTACTTGCACCAAGGAAAATAATGAGTTGCATCAGACAAAATAATACCAAACCCTGCGGGATATCAATCCTAATTTAGTTATACTACACAAGAATCATAGCAAGTCTGGAATGACCCACAAAATCATATTACCTCTAATTTGATCATAATGCACAGAACCCAAAGATTGTAACTACTAACCTGCCCAGTGTCATGAACCCACAGGACCCTAAAGTTCTGTTTAACCGAGAAAATCACTCGTGACTCGTCAGACAGGCGGCTCTTCCGCTTATTTTTATAACTCTACTTCTAGGTTCATGAGTCATGAGCGCATTCCTCCAACAATACCCATAGACAGGCTTCACAACATTTGCCCAGAATACACAATTACTTCAAAGTAGTGCGGCACCAACAATTCTTTAAAAGGCACTCCTACGTCCAGCGTGTGCGATCAACCATAGGGTCGTTGACCTCACACCCTGACTCAGTTAGATCAACCACATACACCCATTGCTGGGGAAATGAA